ACCTGAGCAGGTAGTGAACAGAGCACCTGAGCAGGTAGTGAACAGAGCACCTGAACAGGTAGTGAACAGAGCACCTGAACAGGTAGTGAACAGAGTACCTGAGCAGGTAGTGAACAGAGCACCTGAACAGGTAGTGAACAGAGTACCTGAACAGGTAGTGAACAGAGTACCTGAACAGGTAGTGAACAGAGCACCTGAGCAAATAAATCAGCATGAAAACTGATTAATGTCACAACCTTAAAATGGTCACATGACCGCAGCTACAGATCTCACCGACTCGATGGCCACCCTGACGGCTGATGGTTGCTAGGCACTGGATGTACGTCCTCGTCATCGAAGTGGGCGGGTCTTTGGCCAACTCTGTCAACAGGTGTTCAGTCAGCTGGGAGAAGAGGGCGGGGCTACAGCAGGGCACCAGGTGGCCGAGAGCCAAGATGGAGCGCTTCCTGACCGCCATCCTGGGGCTGGTTAACTGACGGAGAGTCAGAGGGAAGAGGGGGTGAATGAATAGATGAATGAATGAATGAAAAAAGCACTTTTACAAATACTACTGCTATTCTGTGTACGTCCACAGTTAAAATGAAATCAATCAATTTACAGTTTCTTACCTGAGGCAGCAGACTAGAGAGCAGAGAGCTGTGAAAACTGACCAGTGCACCACTCATTCTGGAGAATAAAAAAATAATTAATCAATCAATCAATCAATCTAGAGTCTTTTCCAGTCTTTGCTAGCAGCTCACGTTACGCTCATGACTTCATGACTTCATGACTTCATGTTAGTCTATAAAGGAATTTTGAAGGAAAGGTGACAACGGAACAGGAAGTGAAAAAATGCTGACTCATGTGTGTTATAATGTTTTGGTCGTTACCTTCCCAACATGTCCGACAGGATGTCCAGAGCCTCCAGCTGAACCGACACGTCTTCTTGTTTCCCCATGGCACCAATCAGATGGGAGGTGATCTTCTTACACACACTGACCGTCAGGCTCAAACCTGGCAACCGCATAAATAACACAAAAGGGTAAAACAGCAACAGACCTGGCAACTAAAAAACATATATGTAACAAAAACACATGCTGTTTTGATGATTTTCTAAAACAGCCCAACAAAACACACAAGTGACTTGTTTTTGTTGCCTTCAGGAATTCAGCACCCTGAAATAACTATAAGTGATAAATATAACTCACTGGAAATAATGAAATGCTTTATAATTTTCTCTGTATTTATTTTTTCAAATTTAGAAACACGGTTTGAGGAGAAGTGACACAGAAATGGTCTAACAGGTCATGATGTAACAGTAGCATCAGTTCAATATTGTATATCTATGTCATTGTTTGGTTTTTGGTGAAAATAATAAAGTGTATTTTTAGTTTTAAATGAGAATAAATAGGTGATGTCACCTGATGAAGACAGAGGCAGCTCAGCGATCACGGTCTTCAGTCCCATGCTGGAGATGTCTCTCAGCTGTTCTTTGTCTGACGTCATGTTGGAACACAGCGTTTCCACCATCGTCTCCACCTGAGGCTCCTTCACTTTACTCACCAGAGGAGCCAGGCTGCAAATCAAACGCACCCAATGAGTACATCAATCATCATCAGCTGATCTTCATCAGTACATCACAACCTCTGACACAGTCTGAGAAACTACACTAAAAACATCAGTGAAGGCATTTTGTACCTATTTTGTATTTTTGTTACTCTGCTGATCATTGGAACCTCTATCTCTAGAGAAACGCATTAATATCCGTCTCCATATTGAGAAGAACACGAACCATTTCACCGCCAGGTTCTGGACCTCCCCGTTCTTGTCCTCCAGCAGTTTGAGCAGCATCATCACCACCTTCCTCTCGCTGTCCTCATCCAGCTTGATGCTGTCCTTCTGGAGCTCCAGCATCAGGTCGTTAGTGGCCATGAAGCTGGCACACACACACACACACACACACACACACACACACACACACATACACACACACGCACACCAACAAATACACACACACATACACGCACATACACGCACACACACACACACACACACACTCACACACATGCACACATACACGCACACACATACACACACACCAACAAATACACACACACATACACACACACACACACACACACATACACACACACACGCACACCAACAAATACACACACACATACACGCACACACACACACACACACACACACACACACACACACACACACACAC